ATATCTTGGATGACACCAACAATTTTATTGTATCTATATATGCTTTTCAAATATGCTTCCGTCGGAAAGCCATTTTATAGTTTAAATGTGCATATCCTTCGTCAATTATCTAAATAATTATAACTTTTTTAAAGAAAAAAATAGCGATGTAGTATATTACAATTGCATATCCATCATATCGTTCCATAAATTCACCAAAAACAAGGAGGAAAACAAAAATAAATCCAAATGCATATCTGATATATATTCTCCACGTGTTAGATCAATTTTTTACTCTTGCGCACATGCATGGTTTGTCTAGTACAATAACAGGTAATAATATAAACTGAGACATTTTTTTCTAAAAAAAATCTTAGTTATTTGAATAGCATGCAACGAGAAGCTGCTTGCAAAACACTCTCCCTCTAAAATACGTGCCGTGCCATTTGTTTTTTTCTTTATTTTCTTTTAATTTTTGCTTTGAGCACTGTAGTGTATGCCGTACATGTGCCAATTAATCAGCAAGAGAAGTAGAAATTAAAACCCAACCAGCCAAGTGTGTGACAGAACAAAAGTTGCACTGTACCGCGTACCGGTACCAACCACTAACCAAATGCACTGTCGTACTTAGTCGTCTGACAACCTGAATATCTGACGGTATACAAGTAATTACTCTCTCCGTCTAAAAAAACAAACACTAAATTTCCGTGTCCAACATTTCACCGTCTGTTTTATATGAAATTTTTTTATAATTAGTATTTTCATTGTTGTTAGATGATAAAACATGATTAATACTTTATGCGTGACTTATCTTTTTAATTTTTTTCATAATTTTTTTAAATAAGACGGACGGTCAAATGTTGGACATAGAAACCCAGGGTTTATTTTTTTGGGCGGAGGGAGTATTTTTTAACGATTCACACTGGGGTAGGAGCAGAAGATTACACAACTCTAGGAGACAATATGGATCTCATCACACGTTGTCAATCTCACTGTATACAAAGGATTCTTATCGATACAAGTTTACAGCTAATCAAATTGTTGAGATATATAGTTTAACTAATTATATATACTGTCACAATTTTATCTTATGGTAATATTGTAACGGTTTCATATGAGCACTGTAGAAACGAAAAATCCATGTACTACAGTTTCTTCGTATTAAAACAAAAAATAATTAAAATCATAGTAATAGATGCTAGCTTTAAGGTTGTTGTATACATACACCGCAAACATTAAGGCTCGATTGAATGTGAGCTAGGTTGAGGCTTTAGCTGATTCTGGCACGCGAAATTAATGCCACGAGTCAGCATATGAAAGTTACTATTATAAACTTAACGTGTACTCCCACTAATTTTATAATTCTTGACGTTTTGGACAAGATTGTAGTCAAACTTTTATAATTTTTTATAATTTTGACTATCAATAACTTTAAAAGTATTTAATTTAAAAGAACTAGAACAATATATATATATATATGTTTCCTCTGCGCGTGGCCTGTCCCCTTCGGCGCGGTGGTGAAGTTGGCGACGGAGGACAGAGATCTAGCCATGTGATTGTTAAGTGCGGGAGCTGAGGTGTTCTGGAGTCGACGGCGGCGTCCCTTCGGACGGCGGTGGCCTAAGTGTCGCCGGTGTATCCTTGGCAAGGAGATAGCGGGATTGGGTGGAGGTGGTATCTTTCGCAACAGCGTATGGCAGAATCGCCTGGGAGTCCGGGCAGAAGGCTTCTCCGGCGGCGGCGGCGGCCCTAGGGGCAGCGTCCAACCGAGACGGTGGCAGCCTGAGTGCCAGTTCAAGGTTCGCAGTGAGGAGGCGGATCCCGTTGACGGTGGCTGCCCTAGGGGCGGCAGATGCCTGGGAGTCCGGTGGAAGAGATTGATTTTCCTCGACAGCGGTTCCAGAGGTCTCCGACGACGGCCCTTGGGGCGGTGACGAGCTGGGAATCCAGGAGGGGAGGAGGATCCCGAAGATGGTGACGGCCCTAGGGGCGGCAGAGGCCTAGGAATTCAGTGAAGCGGAAATGGATCTGTCGGCCTGCATTTGGTTGGCTTGTTTAGGCTGGGCAACGACGGATGAAGGTGGGCTAAACCGGGACGTATGACATCAACTCATCTGAAGCGAATGAAGATGGCATCAGCGGAGGCTCGCGGCGACGACGCACTAGGGGCGTTGACGACTAGACGACTTCCACTCCGAATCTCGCTGATTTAGGAGAGGATGTCGGAAAGCAAGGATGTGCCGGTAGTTGTTTTTTCTTTTTCTTTTGGTTTTGTGTTCTCTCTATTGAGATCTGAGTCTAAGTGCTCTTGTATCTTTTTGGCTGTGTATATCCTTCGTGGATATAGAGGCTGGATTATTAATGAAAATCCATTATCTAAAAAAAATATAGTCAATTAATTAGTGATAGAATGCACGCGTGGTGCATGTATACTCTATATGTCGATCTGATTATTACCGAACCAATACTTGCAACCAAATCTGGTTGAACAAATTAAAGCGTGGCTGACGACGATTAATTGTGTGTGCAACGAAAAGAAACGTACAGTGTGCAGTGTATACACGGAACTGGCCATGTTCTTGCGCATTGTCACCGTCACTCGTAACAATGTTCAGGCTTCACCTTAATTAATTTCGCTCAGCTTTGCAGGTGAGCTGAACCGTACTTGCATTGTGGCTTACAAGTGTACAGATCGTGGCTTACAAAGTTATTAAAAGCTAGCTAGATAAAGTTATTTGCTTTGCTGCGGAATATATGGACAAATTTATGTTGAATGAGAACTTGTCGATAGATTTGATTTGGGTTAAATATCATAAACAGTACCGAGGTATATATTATATCGTAATACTGTACGGCATATAACATATTTTGATACTGTAAATCTATACCGAGATATATATTATCCTGTATTATTTAGATTTGTTTATTTTAGAATGAAAGAATACGCAAGTAGTGAAAAGAATAACTTATTCAAATTAATGGATATGACATAACATTCATGCGAACGTGGTCACCATACTTTGTCATCAATTCCATTCTGAATGTTCTGGTTGACATTCCGGCGTTCTCGAGCCGTAGTTCTATTTTTTTTTATTATGTACTCTGGAAACAATCTGTGTCAATAAATGTGTATATATGATTAAAACAGCTAGCAAAATAAAAAATAAAAAATGCGAAGTGAGCATAGCTCAACTGGTTAGGTTACTTGTGGTGGAACCAGCCCACCCGGGTTCAAATCCTAGAGTTGACACGGGTGCTCGCATTTACGGCTAATTATTTTTTCAGTGGTAGACGACGTACTCGTCGACAGCGAGGCACCTATGGTGACTTCGTCAATCTCAAGACATGCCGGCCCAGTCTTACGGAGGTGCTCATAGGGGTAGGGTGTGCGTGTGTAATAATAATAATAATAATAATAATAATAATAATAATAATAATAATAATAATAATAATAATAATAATAATAATAATAATAATAATAATAAAGAATCAAGAAATACATAGACTTCAAAAGTGGTTTTGGGTAGGAATCTGACTTCCCGAACTGAGCGTTCGTTTGAAAAACAAAAAGGCACAAAAGTCCCTCGATTTTCACGTGCACACTTTTCAAACTGCTAAACAGAGAGGCCACCGCTAACTTGAAGAAAGCCCCAAAGAAAGCACTCCACACGTTAACACTCCTGGTCAACTGGGAAATCTAGAACGAGAGAAACTGTAGAATTTTCCAGCACAAAGAGCTATCTACCGGAAGTCTGTTGGCTAAAATTAAAGAGGAGGCCAAAACATGGTCTCGGGCAGGGGCGAGGTTTCCAGCACAAAGAGCTATCTACCGGAAGTCTGTTGGCTAAAATTAAAGAGGAGGCCAAAACATGGTCTCGGGCAGGGGCGAGGCATCTTGGTAGCTGGCTTGCTTTATAATTTTAGCTCATTTGGACCGAAGGTCCTGAGCCTTGTTTTTCTTACTTGTAAAGTTTACTCCTTCTCTATTCAATGAAATTGGCAGCTTGCCGATTCGTTAAAAAAACTACTAAACAGTATACATATATACATATATATTTTAAAATTTTATAAGAATGTTTTAAAAATCATATTAATCTACTTTTTAAAGTTTAAAATAATTAATAATTAATCATACATTAATGACTCATCTCTTTTTCTTTTATTCTTAATTTCCCTTTTTTACTCTTCTCAAAGACACAGACTGCCCGAACAGATGGAGAAGATTGTGTTCCCTTAAGCTCTCCTCTTTGTATTCAAATCAATAATCCACATAAGAAAATATAGCCGGGTCACTAGAGCTATTATCTTCAGAAAGACCCAAACCTGATAAAAATCTATCTATTAAGTTTTAGACGATCGATCATAGCTTTAAACCCCTCGTCGAACACCGGTTTAACGCCGAAACTTGTACTATCATTTTGTTCAGTATCAAAATGGAATTAATAACCCGTCCTCCTCCCGTAAAGAATTACCTAAAAATACATAATGATCGTATCAATGTTGAAATGCTTTGGTAGGAAAAAGAAAAACAACATTTTCATGATGGAATTCGATTATATATATATATTTATTATTTGCAGTTAATTATGTTACAAATAATAATAAAAAAATAATACAGGAAGGTTAGCTTAGCAGTAACTCGTTTGTTTTTGGTACATTCATGCCGTCTGCTGCATCTATCACAAACCTGACCCTAGTTACCTATTTCTGACGCACATGATTCATAAAGGACCGATATCTTCCCTTCGAGCAACCCCAATCAATGCAAGAATATTTATTTTGAAGGTAGAATTATTCAGAAGTTACTGGCATTCTCTCTGGTACTCCTTCCGTAAAAAAAAAAAAAGCAAATTTAGTTTGATGGGATATATTACAGTGCAACGAAATCTGAACATACTTCTCATCTACTCTATCCGTTCTAAAAAAACTTAAATCCGGATTTAAAGTACTATGATGTGCTATATTCAACTAAAATTCCTTATATTTTAAGATGGGGGAGCACTATGTAAGAGTAGTATATGAGACTCTGACACGTACGCACAGCTAGATCGAAGCCCTGGTCGAGTTTATAAATTGAGATATATCCGTCCTCCATTCTCAGGCCAGTTCTTGCAAGACTCTTGCCGTGTTGAGACTGCAGAAACGAGAGCTAGCTAGCCAGAGGCTGCAAGAAGATTCTGCACCCATAGATCGTCTACCATGGCCACAAACCCAGGACTCTTCACGGAGTGGCCATGGAAGAAGCTTGGCAGCTTCAAGGTAATCAAAATTAACCTTCCATCTTCTTCTCCTTAATTCAGTTACTTCACTGTCTTCTGGCAGCTCGATCGAGCAAATAAACGCACAGCTTCTAGTTCCATCCATGGCAGCACTGCACCATGACCATTATGTTCTTGTTTGAGTTCGCTAGCTTCTGTTTGATATCAAAGCATACATTGCCGCATGTGCAGCTAGCAGTGCATGAGATTAATTCTCTTGCATCTGCTGCAGATCAGTAATGCAGGGGCATGAACTTTCCTGCAGCACCTCTGTGCAGCAAATAAACTGTTAAAGAGTACATGGTTAAATAAGCTTTTGCCACATCGTCTTTGATTAGGCAAAAACATTCAGTATACACAACTTCCGACCTTTACAAATTACAACAGTAACTTCAGCTATAAATTATAGCACATGTGAGTTAATTCGATGGATGGATTCATGCATGTATATGTGTGCATATGCAGTACGTGTTGCTGGCGCCGTGGGTAGCGCACGGGTGGTATGAGGTGGCGACCAAGGGGTGGCGGGAGGTGGATCTCGGGTACATCGCCATCCTCCCGTCGTTGCTGCTGCGGATGCTGCACAACCAAGCCTGGATCACCATCTCCCGCCTCCAAAACGCCCGTGGCCGCCGCCAGATTGTTCGCCGCGGCATCGAGTTCGACCAGGTTGACCGCGAGAGGAACTGGTATGCCAAACACCATAAAATTACGTACAACCCACGCGGTGTGTTCGTGGCGGCTAGCTTCACCTTCGAGATTAATTAATTCAACCTCATTATAGTTGATGTGTTGTTACGTGTATGGTGGTGTGCGTGCAGGGACGACCAGATCATCCTGAGCGGTATCCTACTATACCTCGGCGCACTGTACGTACCGGGCGGGCAACACTTACCGCTGTGGAGGACGGATGGCGCGGGGCTGATCGCCTTGCTGCATGCGGGGCCAGTGGAGTTCCTCTACTACTGGTTCCATCGTGCGTTGCACCACCACTTTCTCTACACCCACTACCACTCGCACCACCACTCTTCAATCGTCACTGAGCCCATCACATGTACGTAATTAATTGCCACTAGAGACGGTTTATCCTCGAGGCTCCAAACATTACATTCTCTTTTAGGCAATAACCTTTGAGCTTCTATATTAGTATCGAATTGTGTTGCGTCATAAATATTTTTACAAAATTTTTATTCATCATCTAAAGTTATCAATGATCAAAGTTCAATCAATACTAATAGTTACAAGTAATTTGAAATAGAGGAAGTAAGTTGTACTACCTAGTTGTACCATCATTGCTCCAAACAACCTATTACATGATATTACTTTCGTCCCAAACCTCTAAATGAATATTAAGATTTTGGTAATACAAATTCTTAAAATTTTGAGACAGAAATATTACTAGACCTGTAACCTTGGGATAAATTAAACCACGGTAATCTTCCAATAGAACAAAGTAAAAAACAAGTCTTTTCCATAAGGACACAAAACAGGAGGTGTACTTCGTCAGATGCAAGTGTCGCGCGTGTCCGTTCCTCAGGAAACACAGAGTGTTCCTGTGGCCAGTCGATCGCTACTTCAATTCCCTCCTCCTTCAATGCATGCCTGAACAATAATTGTAGGCCTAGAGAGTGTGTGAGTTAAGGAATGCAAAGGACACACGATATTTCATGGACCATTGAGATCGAAGTAAGCCGACCGATCGATCGCGAGCTAAATTTATGTAGCCCATCGAATCCGTTGCTGAATGCCTGACCAAACGGAGAAGCAAACGTGGTCCATGAACAACGTATCAGAGACTTTTAGACAAGAGAGAAATCACATTCTAAGGGGTTTTTTCCCCCTTTTTTTTGAGTGGAAGAGTTTTTTTTATTGAGAGGTATCGAGAAGTACTATATTTTTCGTGTAAGCTAGCCAAATATCAGTGCGTTGCAACTTGCAACGGATTATTAAAAATAGCAAAATTAAGTCCTTGTTAAATTTTTTTTAAAAAAAAATGGTTGAAACACAACTTTTCATCTTAAAGAAACAAACAAAAATGCCATGCTTAGAAAATTAAAGAGCTAAAGTATAGTACAGTATATATAGTACAGGCGACTCTCCCAAACCTTAATACCATGGCCCATATATCAGTGACCCAGGCCCTGGGCAAACTGGTCCACGGCCCAGGGCCTGAGATGAAAGGCCCGATGAGAAATATGCATTTTTACTAGGAATAAGTCTATTTTTCCTCCTTTCAACCATGTAACTTTGTGTTGGGCCAAAATTTCCATGGGGCGGCCTAGGCCTTGGCCTATTTCTGGGTCCGCCCCTTATCAGTGATTGTGGTGATGGCAGATTCACTACCACCACTACTATCTTTTAATAGTAGTAAAGATTTTGGTGTCATCTTGTAATTTTAAGATGTACAAGACGGTACCATAAATTGACTTTAAAGTGATTTGAATGGATGTGTAATGGGAGAAATCGCTTTTCAAATGTAAAATAATGCACTACTTGTATTAGTACTAAATTTTACATTAGAGAACACGATATATTCAGTGATTCTTGATAACCATAAAATCCCTTTAAGATTATGGTGTTTTCTTTAAGTACTGTTAAAAAAAAACCAATAGTGTCTACTGGTTACACTGCAGAAGAAGAGAACCCTGCAGACTGCAGTATTTGTAATTGAGCAAGCAGATACATATACCTAAATGCATATATGTTCATTACCTACAATTCCTAACGTTGTTGCAGCCGTCATCCATCCGTTTGCTGAGCTCGTTGCCTACGAATTGCTCTTCTCGATCCCACTGATCGCCTGTGCCTTGACTGGAACTGCTTCCATAATTGCATTCGAGATGTATTTGATTTACATTGATTTCATGAACAACATGGGGCACTGCAACTTCGAGTTGGTACCCAGCTGGCTCTTCACATGGTTCCCTCCTCTCAAGTATCTCATGTACACGCCATCGTAAGTACTTCATCAGGCTCTTAATAATACTTCCTTCTTCCTTAAATGTTTGACGCCGTTGACTTTTTTAAACATGTTTGACCGTTCGTCTTATTCAAAAACTTTTGTGAAATGTGTAAAACTATATGTATACATAAAAGTATATTTAACAATAAATCAAATGATAGAAAAAGAATTAATAATTATTTAAATTTTTGAATAAGACGAACGGTCAAATATTTTTAAAAAAGTCAATGGCATCAAATATTTTGGGATGGAGGGAGTATGTAAAAGAGTAACTTTACAGTTTTTAAGAAAGCATAGGGGAAGTACCATATTTTATATTGGAGAAATTTTACGGTTTTCAGTATTTCTTTTAAGATAAAGGAGGCTTTATTGATCTTGGATACAATATACTCTAAAACCACTCCTGATATCTGCATAGCTAGGATGCACATGGTCTATAGTTATTGAAAAAGCCAAATAAAAGAAGATGATGTGCATGTCACTCTGCAAAATAAATAACTTGATCATACATGCTGTTTTCACTGTTATAATAATCTGAACTTATGTGATATATTAGGTTTCATTCTCTGCACCACACTCAGTTTCGGACAAACTACTCCCTTTTCATGCCGTTCTACGATTATATCTACAACACCATGGACAAGTCATCAGACACTCTGTATGAGAACTCACTGAAAAACAATGAGGAAGAAGAAGCAGTGGATGTGGTTCACCTTACACACCTGACCACCCTGCATTCCATCTACCACATGAGGCCCGGTTTCGCCGAATTTGCGTCCAGGCCCTACGTTTCCAGGTGGTACATGAGGATGATGTGGCCTCTGTCATGGCTCTCCATGGTGCTGACATGGACGTACGGTTCTTCATTCACTGTTGAGAGGAATGTCATGAAGAAGATCAGGATGCAGTCATGGGCCATACCAAGATACAGTTTCCATGTAAGAGTAACCATGTTCAGTGCATGATTCACAGATGGTGTGCATGATAAATTGATAATCAGGTTAGAAACATTTTGTTTTGTGCAGTATGGATTGGATTGGGAGAAGGAAGCTATCAATGATCTTATCGAAAAGGCGGTATGTGAAGCTGACAAGAATGGGGCTAAAGTTGTAAGCCTTGGACTCCTGAATCAGGTAGCTCATTTCCTAATGAATTCAGAGCAAGTTGAAACATTATCATCCATACTTCAGAATTCAGATGTTAGCTATATGTCCACATGTACTGCCAAATTTTAGTCAAGATAAAACAGTTAGTGCTTAATAATTGTTTATCTTCAGGGAAAAGGTTTAGTCATAAAGGTAGGAAAATAAAAAAATTAAGTAGCAAAGAGTCCGTTGACAGTAGTCCAACAGAACTAATAAATTCTGTACATTTCATGAGAATACAATATGTAGAAATTAGGGAAGTATGTACTCATGCATGGTTGAACTGGTAATTGACATACAATATCTTCAATATAAGGCACATACCCTGAATAAAAGTGGAGAACAATATCTGCTGAAATACCCAAAGTTGGGAGCAAGAATTGTCGATGGAACCAGCTTAGCTGCTGCAGTGGTTGTCAACAGTATCCCCCAAGGCACAGACCAAGTAATTCTTGCAGGAAATGTTTCCAAGGTGGCGCGTGCTGTAGCGCAAGCATTATGCAAGAAAAATATCAAAGTAATTAATCCACTACTCACCTCTGATTTATTTTATAGCATGCAAAAGGATACCATGTTGTAACAAACCACTATTCTTGTACAGGTCACGATGACAAACAAGCAAGATTATCATTTACTCAAGCCAGAAATACCAGAAACTGTAGCTGACAATCTTTCGTTTTCGAAAACAGGCACCGCAAAGGTAAGAATAGATTTCCTCATTTTTCCTACATTCTCTGGACAAATGAATAGAATGTATAAGAGAAATATCATTGCCTAATAAACCAAAAATTTTCAGGTTTGGTTAATTGGTGATGGTCTAGATTCTGCTGAACAATTCAGAGCACAGAAAGGAACTCTGTTTATCCCATACTCACAATTTCCTCCAAAGATGGTACGCAAGGACAGCTGCAGCTACTCGACAACTCCTGCAATGGCTGTACCAAAAACGCTGCAGAATGTGCATTCATGCGAGGTAGTAGTAATAACCTGTTGAAATAATCCAGAGATTCAGACGAACTTCACATGATCTAATCACAAAATTTTTGAACTTTTTTTTTGACAGAATTGGCTGCCAAGGAGGGTTATGAGCGCATGGCGAATCGCGGGAATTCTTCATGCGTTGGAGGGATGGAATGAGCATGAATGTGGTGACAAGGTGCTTGATATGGACAAAGTTTGGTCTGCTGCAATTATGCATGGGTTCTGCCCAGTTGCTCAAGGTTGATGATTCAGTTGCAAAGTATCAGAATAAGTTTTAGCTGGATTATGCTATGTGGTCACCGTATCAGAAAGAGAGATGTTCTGTTGGCAAGAAGAGATATAGTATCTGAGTAATTTCATCTGCCATGGTTTTTAAAACATTGTTCATCATCTCCTTTGATCAAAGACTGGCCATGGCTACTTTCTGTATAAGTATCTGTCCTTTTTAGTCCATAGTGTAATTCAGCAACAAAACACTCTTGGCATTGTTATGCAGTCTCATGAATGTTTTTCCAGCATACGGAATTACGGATCAACTCATGAATGCTTTGGGGTTCTATGAGCCTAGCTTTCCGAAGATATTGTGCATCTCATCTTGATGGTTGATCGATCTCGATGCATCAGAAGTCCTCTCTGAGCTGAATTTCTAACTCCCAACTAAGAGATACCCCATCCTGCCTTCAAAGGAAATAACAAAACCACTTAGTACCCTCAAGAGAATGGTGATGCTAACGTGATCTTAAATACATACCTTGTAGATATTTATGGCTAACTAGCCAACAAGTCCACCCTATAAGATATAGAGTTGAGATCTAAAAAATTTTCCTCAGTTCAGAAATTATTATTACACTTGCATATATAAATATAAGATGAATAAAAAATGTACATGTACATTCATGATAAGAATGTACTTTTTACTAAAGATAATAATACACACGTATATACACATCTAGCTAAAAAATATCTTGATGGGGGTGGGTGTAAAACACACCATCATCCAACACATCCAACTCATCCTTTAAGGAGTAACGATATTATTGTTGGAATTACCTGCTCCTATTTTGTTTCGGAACATAATTTGTAGTGTCTTACTTTTTTCCAAATGTAAGTTGTTGTAGCCTATAGGACTTCTGGTCATTTGCCCCAGTTTCTCTTCTTATGCTCTTATTATTTTAAAAATGCTACCCCCACACATGTATAAACATAAAGTATTGTTTTCAATATACTATTACAATTAGAGGGCACGCAGATAATTGAACACTTTCTTAATTCTTACTCACAATTCTAAAAATAAACTTTGGCCAGCTTTCGCCGACCCAGAAAAAAAAAAAACTCGTGCAGGTGAAGTGCACATGATCAACAATGCAAGAGAGCTATTTAAGGCCCTATCTGGAACGAGGAAAACTTTTTTGATTCTTAGAAGTTAGAAGTTGGAAGTATATTCCATGAAATTAAATTATGTGTCCCAAACAGAGAATGAACTCATTGTACATTATCTGGACACCTAAGATTGGGACAGCCTGACATCAACTATGACATTGAACTTCTGCCCGAAATCCGCCACCTGCTTTGGGAGGCAGAACATAGTAATGTGTGTTGACACCTGGAGGTTCAATCGATTGAGAGAACTGTTTAAAGATGAAATCGACATAATGCTTTATGTTCAAGGCTTGATCGGCTTGCCAACAATCTGACTGACAAGGCATTTAACTGTCAAGCAGTAGGTAGCTAATACTCTAGTAGGAGTAACAGACTGTGAAAACCCTATATTAACAAAGAAAAAGGGAAAACTCAAATTATCCTTTAAGGGGATATCCCCTCATTTTTCATGTCACTTAAAAAGTCATCAAAAAAATTTTAAAATAAATAGTAGAATAGATCAATATGTGATATGTCACTTCACAAGCATGCAAATTCAAATTCAACTTATACAGGTAGAAACAAAAATAATAAATTTGACTATGAATAGAACGTGTAATTCATGGTCAAATTTGTTATTTTTGTTTCGAATAGTATAAGTCAAATTTTAGCTCACATGTTTACGAAAAGATATATCATATATTGATCTATCTTGATATTTTTTTTAAATTTTTTTTGATAACTTTTTGAACGACATGCACAAAACGAGGGGATGTCCCCTCGAGGGATAAAAATCCACTTCTAAGAAAAAGGTGATGGGTTTTACTTTACAATGCTTCAAACCTTCAATGAACCTGTGCATTGACAACTTTTAACAATTAAAAAGGAGAGACAGTTGTGACTAATCTTGCATGAGTTCATCCTCGGTAGGAAAATTGTATAGGTTAAATCCCTTTTAAGTAACTCTACATGGTAATTAGATCATCCATACACTTGAGACGGGAAAGCAAAGTTCTTCCATGGGTATAGGTTGACAAGACATAACTCAACACCATGGGATAATAACACAATACTGTTGGGTTTGGGTAGCAGTGCAAGGCAAGGTTCTCTAATCTAAATAGACGACACCTGTTGCCAACCTAATGAATTTTTGCCGTCATTCACCGTGAATCATGATGCATAATTAATGATATCTGTCATTCTGTCAACTAATTAAACCTGTCACCCTATGTACGTATCAAACACACAAAAGGAGTCTGTAAATTGAGCAAGAACAGAGCTCAGTAAATCACTAACCCTGAAAACAGTAGTAGCAGCAGCGCTAGCAAGTACTGTACGAGCTCAGCTAGCCTGAATTGGTCACCAAACCCGGTATCTTCACCGAGTGGCCATGGAAGAAACTTGGCAGCTTCAAGGTGCATCCATATGCCTCTAATTATATCTGCATTTATCACCAAACAGTCCAAAGCCGCATGAACTTAACATGATCATGGCTCTATAAACTTTTGTTCAAATTCAACCAGAATTTTGAAAATTTTCGCCCGAAATTTCTTTCAGTTTCTATCTTTCCCTTTCGAAATGTTTTCGCTTTCAAACAAAATGGAACCTAAACATGATTAATTTATTTGTATATATCTACGTGCATGCCACGCAGTACGTGGTGCTGGCGCCATGGGCGGTGCACGCCGTGCTACCTGGTGGCGACGGCGAAGGGTAGCAGCCAGCCACCAACAGTAATCTACATTTGCACTGTGTAATAAGCACAATGTTTCATTTATACGTCTCATAATCGAAGGACCTAATAAATAAACAGCAGCTAAAGCGATGTTTTTCTGTACCACGAGTCAGCATCAAGGAGGTACTATATGCATCTTCCTTTCTTCAGATAAAAAGCACAAGGACCAAACACTGTGAATTCTGTGACCAGTTGCAATTATGCAGAGTATTGGAATAATACTGATATAAGAGTGACCCATCAGAAAGGTAAGTTAATGACGATGATTTATGAGGCCCATCAGAAAGGTAAGTTAGTTGGTACTACTTTGCAACGTTCTTCCTTCATATGCAGACAACTCCGTTTGCTCTCCGCAATCAATAGGGCTGAAACATCAGTAGTACCACTATTAGTACATCTAGATTAAATGGCCAGAGCATAGGTCATCACTGGATTTATTGTGTTGAAAACGATGTATATTTTTTTCTTCCTTTTTAGCCGATTAGAGCAAGTTTAATAGTATAGTCAGCTACTAGCTCTAATTCATCTGTAGCCAATCTAATAGCTTATTCATACAATAGTTACATACTAGTACACTATTAATACCTGCTCCCACCTGTAATATACACCCCGTGTCTTGGAGTCCGTGCTACAGCTGGCTATAAATCTATAGCCCGCTGCTGTTCTCTCTCCTCGTTTATCTTTTTAAAATATATTTAAAGCTGGTTTATAGCCTGTTAGAGTACCTGCTCTTATAAGATGATGGTTAGTAGTTGAGAGTGAATGATATGCTTCTATTTATCATGTTTTAATGGTAAGAAAATAGATAGTACAACTAGCATGCAGTAATATGTCATTAAACATATAAAAAGATCAACAAAATTGTGATTGAAAAAATGAACAAAAGAGAGTACCTTATTAAAAGGAAGCGAGGAACTAGTATCAAGTAGCTAGCCAGCTTGGAATCAGGATTATGTAGTAAGAAAATTGCCCACGAGAATCAGCAACTGCGCTTGGACATATTTCCAGTCAATCTGTGTTAAGATCCTAGAAGCTTCTCTAGAAATGAGTACATATCAGGTGAAAACAGTCCAACTGTTGAAAATTTGGAAATTTCAATCTCCACCATTCTCTTGGATCCCAACGGCCAGGATAGTTCGAGGTCACCCTATCACACCTATTTGATGCACATTTGCATAAAGCCGCCCGCACACAGCCTGGATTTTTTGTAAAAATACCCCTTAACTATCTCATTGTATACTGCAATGCCCTTAACAAAAGTAGAGTATCTAAACCAAAGGAAAACAAAAGCAGCTAAGTTCAGAAATATTTCAAAAGTTTTAGTTCAAGTACTGTACAATAACTCCATAAGTACTTGACAATAGCTCCGTAAGTACTGTACAATAGATCTATAGATATGAGAGAAAAATGCATGATGACTGAAGCATGTTAAACAACTGTACAATAACTCCATAAGTACCAAGGACTTACAATAGTGTATATGAACTTGCTGTTTGGTCTTAACATGCAGTAAAAAAAAAAGTAACTACGAACAGTATTTACATAGTAGTATAATTCACAGTATTCATCTATACTCAAGAAATTCAGAAACATTTTCGGCACATGGAAATTTCTTAGCTAAAAACTACTTGTTGCCATTTTCTGCATGTGATTGAAATTTCAGTACGTCAAAATGATACAAACCGCCCTTCGTGTGCAGGTCATAATGACAAACAAGCAGGGCTATCATTTACTTAAGTCGAAAATGCCAGAAAATGTGGCCAACAATCTTTCATTTTCCAAAACAGGGACAACAGAATTCTTACTTTCTCTTGATAAATTAACAGGGAGTGCCATATGCGGATTAAGAGAACTTATGCCTAATGATCAACCAGTGGCATAACAGGTTGCTCTCAAAATTTCTTCAGGTTTGGTTAATTGGGGAAAATCTAAGATGCTACGGAACAATTCAGGACACAGAAAGGAGCACACTTCATCCCATACTCACAGTTTCCACCGAGAATGATACGCAACAACTGCTGCACCTACTGGACGACTCCTGCAATGGTTGTTCCTAAAACTCTGCACAACATGCATTCATGTGAGGTAATTAATAAACTGTTGAGCTGCAACGTACTCTGAAAGAGCTTTACAGAATGGTCTTAAGTACAGAATTTTGAGCTTATTTGGCAGAATTGGCTACCAAGGAGGGTCATGAGCGCATGGCGTATCGCTGGAATCGTTCACGCGCTGGAGGGATGGAGTGAGCACGAATGCGGAGACATGGTGCTCGACTGCAATTCGTCATTGGTTCTGCCCTGTTGCTCGTGTTTGATGCTCTGGTTGCCTGTCAATGCAGAATAAGTTATTCAGGGATGTGCCATATGTTCCATGGAACCATGTAATGGTACAAGAAACAGATGTTCAATCTCCAAGAACAGATGTAGCATCAGAGTAGTTTGATCTGCTATGGTTCAGCTTAGCTATTTACTGTCCTTAATGAGATCCCTAAGGGTATTCTCAAAAAGCTAGACTATTATAGATCTAGATTTTTCTGGCAATGTGATGAACATAATAAGTATAGGTTAGTAAGATGGAGTGTATTGTGCAAACCAAAGGAATGTGGTGGCTTGGGTATACAGAACTTAGAGATATAAAACAAATGCTTGCTTAGCAAATGGTTGTACAAACTCATCAATGAAGAAGGGGTTTGGCAGGACATTCTTAGGAATAAATACTTGACAAAAAAAAACCATCACACAAGTCGAGAAATGCCCTGGAGATTCACATTTCTGGGCTGGGCTAATGGTGGTGAGGGATGTCTTTTTTAAAGGCGGTGCCTTTAAGGTGGGGGATGGTTCTCAAATAAGATTTTGGGAGGATTGCTGGATTGGTGATTTTCCTTTCGAAAAGTTGTACCCTAATTTATACAATCTTGTAAGGAATAAGAATGCTATTGTTGCGGATGTTATAGATAAAGTGCCGTTAAATGTTGAGTTGCTTTGGTGGGGGAGAATTTGGTTGCATGGTTTAACCTAGTGGCTAAAGTGGTTCTTGTTAGGCTCTCAAACCATAGAGACAAGCTTATTTGGAAAGTTAACAAAACCGAAATATTTTCGGTTAGTTCCATGTATAAAATGATTATGTATGAGAATATAGTACCAATGAAGGATTTAATTTGGAAGCTTAGAATTCCTTTGAAAAACAAAATCTTCCTCTGGTATTTAAAGAAGGGAGTGATTCTCACGAAGGACAATCTAGCAAAAAGAAATTGGAAGGGCAGCACTAAGTGTTGTTTTTGTAACCACAATGAAACGATACAACATCTCTTCTTTGATTGTCATGTGGCTAGATTTGTTTGGAGTACCCTTTTTATAACATTTGGGATAAATCCGCCTAACAATGTTGCTAATATGTTTGGGATTTGGCTAAAGGGTTTACAGTCTAGGCTAAAGTACCAAATCTTTACAGGGATTGCGACGTTGTTGTGGGCAATGTGGATTTCTAGAAATGATGTGGTCTTCAATGGCTCCAATTTTAACTCTTACTTGCAGGTTATTTTCAGGGGGACGTATTGGGCTCGACAATGGTCCTTGCTGCTTAAAGAAGATGAGCGCGATGTGATGAAGGAAGGATGCAAACTGTTAGAGACATCTGTCATGCACTTCTTTGGTAAAGATGGATGGAACATGAGAAAGCGGTTAAAGGAGGAATGTGGTTTTTAGTTTGTTTGGAAGGTCTTTTCACTTTGAAAGGCGTAGGGAGTCTTTGTGCTCTTTTAGTTTTATGTAAGGTGCTTGAGCCTTTGTGCTTCTTTTGTTTGTGAACTTGTGTGTATGAACTAAGCTTGTTTGCTTGGATATTCTGTGGCTGTATACACCCCAGTTGGTGTAGAAGCCAGGTTTTATAAATTCCCATTATCTAAAAAAATTTACTGAACTATCTCATCTCATCTCCTATTATCAAAACACTGGTAATGAATGGCAGCATTCTGTGCCAACAAAGAAACCCACCAGTAATTGTTATGCAGTCTCATATACGTGACATATCCATAATTCCATAAAGAAGATAGCATGCAATAAAATACCAAAATGCAGAGTTTTTTTCAGTAGCAGTAATCCTGTAGCTGCCTTGACGAATGCAGAATTTGCAAACACATCTATACCTAAATTTATCGGCATTGTTTACACTCTAGTACGGAATTGTTTCAGTAGTGAAGAAACTCACGGTGGACGGCGGCGGCGCCGGTAGGAACCCGTGGCCGCGCTCGCCGGCTCGCCGTGCCGGCGCGGCGACGACCTCAGGAGGAGGGAATTCTAGGGCCGGCGGAGCATGCAGTCCGTCTCGAGCGGCACGACGACGAGACCAGGGGCGGCGGGCCGAGAAGCCGATCGAAGCATCCGGAGGCAGAGGCTTCATCATCACGGGCTAAGAACTCTGGGCCATGAGCGTCCCAAAAGATCTCGTCTTATGATAATGGAGAAAGTACACCGGAGATCTCTCTATCGCATCTTTTAACACCGAATTACAAAATCGTCATTTAACTGTAAAACCAAATACAATACATCCCAAACTTATAAAACCAGTACAAACGAGATCCTTTCGTGGTATTATCACCAATTTTGGCTAATGTGACGCATATATGGCTCCTTTGATTAGGTTTTTGTCATATGCGGTGTTGACGTGGCGCTAACGTGCCAATTCAATAAAAAACATGAGGGCCCACGTGCCAGTTACAGTTTTTGGCTGATGTGGCATCTACGTGGCTCCTTTGAATAGTTATTCATCCCATGAGGCATTGACTTGGCAATTTGATAAAAAACATGAGGCCCACATTTCAGTTACGCTAGAAAATAATTAAAAAAATTTCTCCTCACTACACGCTGCTGGGTGGGGCGGGGCGGAGCGGGCGAGCCTGCCTCCTCCCTCTCCATGCGCGCTCGCCGCCGACCTCCATGTCCCCCCTCAAAGGCCTCCTCGCCTCCGGACGGCCATCGACAACCTTACGAGAGATGGCGGTGAGGAGGCGGCGGACGTGGCAAGGGCCAAAGGGCTGGCGTGGGATCGCGACGTGGAAGAACCAGGACGCATTGGAGATGGAGCGGAGGTAGCGGACGGCAGCCGTGGTAGGCGAAGGTGGTGGCGCGTGGAGCGAAGACGGCGTCGAGGGCGGATACAGCGGAGAGCATAGCGAGGTGGAGTGGGAGGGTGGGGACTGTGGATGGGGAGCGAGTGGGCGTTGTAGGAAATTACTCTCTCCGTTTCTAAATATTTGACATCGTTGACTTTTTAAGCACATGTTTGACCGTTCGCCTTATTCAAAAACTTATGTGAAATATGTAAAACTATATGTATACATATAAGTATATTTAACAATGAATCAAATTATAGGAAAAAAATTATTAATTACTTAAATTTTTTAAATAAAATGAACGGTCAAACATATTTAAAAAAGTCAATAGCGTCAAATATTTAGAAACGGAGGGAGGACTGAACAAAATTATCGTAAGCTTTTTCGCTAGAAAACTTTCGAATGTAACTACATAGGAATGACACCAATATTGAAACTTTCAGATCCGTGCCAGAAAATTTTACATATTCGTATTTGTGTTGGGTTTACAGTTCGTTCGAGAGATTATGAGGTTTAATTCCGACTGCAAAGATCGCAAAAATCTAGAGCTGTATGGCGTGTAGCTACCGTCTTCTTCAACTCCGATGGATACACTGCGCGGCTGCGCCATTGCTGAGCTTGGAGACGGGACGACGCGAAGCTTTTTTTGCATGATCATCGTCGCTTGGCGAGCTGGAACGTGCGCTTCAGAAACTGGCTGGCGGCCTCGTCGTCGCGGTGGCAGAGCACGCGGAGGATCGTGTTCGCGTCGGCGGCGTCCCACCGCCTCGACGTCGGCGGCACCGGCGTCACGCCGCCGTAGCCGCCGTCGCCGTCGTCGCCGCCGCGCCCCACGGCGGCGACGATGGACTCGGACGTGGCGACGCCGAACGCGTCGATGAGGGCGTCCGTCGGCCGCGCCATGAGCTCCACGACGCGCTCCGCCGCCTCGGCCTCGCGCGCCACCACCTCCTCCGGCACGAGCCCCTCGCCGCACGTGCAGAACGCGCGCCTCAGGCTCCGGAAGTCCTCCTCCACCATGGCGTGGTCCCCCCTCGCGAAGCTCCGGTCGCCGCCGCCGGCGAGGAGCACCATCAGGAACGCCTCGAACGACGCCCTCATCACCTCCCGCACCGCCACTGGCTGCGCCCTGTCGGCGAGCACCGACACCAGGAACGTCAGGTTCTGCTTCAGCGCGCGCAGCGCCGGCCTGATCCGCGTGTCGGCGACGCCGCGGAGGTAGAGGCCGTGGTAGAAGGAGTGGCGCGAGTCGAGGAACACGAGGCGGAACGCCGCCACCTCGGCGACGCGGGCGATCGCCGACTTCGCCGCGGCGCGCGCGCCGTCGAAGCGTGGCGACGGCGCGGCGACGAGCGACTTGTCGATGGCGTGGAGGTGCGTGAGGACGTACTCGAGCGTGTTGAGGCGGACGTAGAGGCGCTGCGTGCCGCGGCTGATCGACGGCCGCGGGACGTGGTGCGAGCCGCCGCCAACGCCGACGCCGCGTGGGCCGCCCTCCGGCGCTTGGCACGACGGCAGCACCGTCTTCCTCCACAGCTTGAAGAAGCCCGAGTCCTGGTTGCACCTCGTCAATGGTGGCAACGGTGGGAGGTAATTCTGCTTGGCCCCTATGATTCAGAGACGTGTAAGTTTGATCTGAACACTACAAATATGATACTCTGTTATCGTTGACTTCTTGTCACGTGAGTGGATGTGTCTCACCGCACGAGGCGACGAAGGAGATGTACTCTTGGAAGATCGCCTCGAGGCCGTCGACGAGGTCTTGCACCACCTCGTCTTTCGCGCTCGCCGGGATCTCGGAGAACTCTTCGACGGTATACTTAGCCAGCTTCATCATCTCCATCGCTGACCCGGCAAAAGGTTCATCTTTGGATTTTGGTATCCAGCTCTAACACGTTTTGTTGCAAATCAATGGTAAGTATGAAAAATGATTTTTCAAGTTGGACGTCATCAAGGTGTTCGACGAAATTACCTCGGTTTCTTTGGCTCTGGCGAGGCAGTCCATGGTGATCTTGAACCTGTCGTCCATCCACACCTTGAGCAAGCCCATAACGACGGAATCCACCTCGTAGGGCTCCATGTCGCCGACGATGGCCTTGGCCCGGTCGTCGCGGCAGTCGGCGGCGTCCTCCGCCGTCATCTGCGCCATGGCCTTCTCCATCCTGCTCGCCGACTGGAGCACGCGGACGAGCTCCTCCGTGAGGATGGTCACCTTGCCGAGGTACTGCCTCAGCACGACGCCGTAGCAGCCGTGCAGGGTGACCGCCGCGACGGCCACCGGCGCCGGGTGCCACCGCCTCAGCACCGGGCTGAAGCTCCGCCGCTCCACGACGGCGAGCTCCTCCGTGTCCCTCGCCAGCTGCGTCAGCACCACCCCCGGCTCGCCGTCGCCGTCGCCCATTCCGCTCTCGAGAATCTGGAATCAAAACGAACATGAATTGATGCAACACAAATTGTGATTCTGAACCCAAGAACTTCACCTTGGTGAAGGCGTTCTTCATCGAACACCTGATGTAGTAGTCGACGCGGTCACCGGCGAAATTGGCGGCGTCGTCGGCGTCGGCGGCGGCATCACGGTCGGCGATGATCTTGCCGGCGGCGAGCGAGATGGAGAGGAGGATCTCCATGACCTCGGTGGGGGCGCCGCCGATGCCCTTCTCGTAGCTGTCGTGGTAGTCCAGCAGCCGCTTCTCGGACCACTCCTGCATGGCGCCGAGCGCGCCGAGGAGCGCCTTGCCGTACACCGCGTCGCGGGTCCCCCTGGCGTCGGCTGCGACGTCGGCGAGCACGGCGAGCGCGGCGGCGGCGAGCTCCGGCTCGACCTGGCCGGTGACGACGTACTGCTGGAAGAACGCCCACGCGAGGCACACGTTGTGCACGGGCCTGGTGACGCCCAGCGTCGGCCACGTCTTCCTGATGAGGTCGAGGAGCTCGTCGACCTCGTCGAGCACGACGGTGCAGTCGCGGTGGTCGAAGATGGCGTGGAGGAGCGAGGCGTAGAGGAGGACGTTGAGCGGGTAGCCGTCGGCCCAATGGCAGGCGTCGCCGCCGCCGCTGCCGACGCCGGAGCGCCAGGCGAGGGCGTGGACGGCGCTGGTGAGGGTGCGCATGGCGTCGGAGCTCTTGGCGGTGTCGATGGCGCGGATCTCGGTGGCACGCATCACCTCGCGGAAGCGGAGCACGGCGGAGTTGAGGCGGTCGAGGGGGAGGGAAGGGTGGAGGATGAGGCCGGCCTCGAGGAGCTTCACCTGGCGGAACTGCCACTGGTGGTACTCCTCGCCGTCGGCGAACTCCGCCGGCTTCAGTTGCCGGAGGAGCTCGAGGGGGAGGACGATGGTGTCGGGCCTCCTGCCGACCTGCCCGACGACGGCGCGCATCAGCGTCCGCCGCAGCCGCGCGTCGCTCTGCTCGGTCACGCGCATCTGCTGCCGCATGATCTCCGCCGACGTCATCGGCCGCCGCCCACGCCCCGGGGACGCCGGCCCCGACGTCTGGCTCAGCGTGCGCACCATCATCGGCTGCGCCACCATCGCCGCCGACGACGACGACAGCCGCCTCGCCTTGAGCCCCAGCGCCTTCTTGACGCGGCTGCCGCCGCCGCCCCTCGGCCCGGCCACCGGCGACGACACCTCTGCTGCGCCGGCGGTGTTCCCGCCGGAGGAGGAGCGGCAGGACATGAAGAAGATCTCGTAGGCGGTCTCGCGGAGCTCGACGGGGCCGAGCGCGTCGACGCGTCCGAACGGGCAGCCGACGTCGGCGGCGGCGGCGAAGTCGAGCTCGGTGGCGTCGGACGAGGGCGTCGCGGAGGAGGTCACCGAGAGGGAGCCCGAACGCTGGTGGCGCCCCATCTCGCCGCCGTTCCGGGCGGCCGTGGCGACGACGGAGCGAGCGCGCGCGCAGCGGGCGACGTCGAGGAGGCAGGAGACGCGCGGCGACCACGACAGAAGCGGCCCAAAAAGGGGAGCCCAAATGGAGCTCAACTATTTCGGTGCCGGGCTTGCAGCTCAACCATTGAATTCCAGCTCGTGTTTTATCAGGCTAGCTTATGCTCCCTTGGTCGTTTTATCTTTGATCAAAGTAAAACTGATCCAAGTTTGATCAAGTTTGTAAAAAAAAAAAGTAAAATTTTCAACCCAAAACAAATATATTATAAAAATATAAATAATTTAATGAGTACTATGTTTGTTTACAAACTTAGTTAAACTTAAAATAGTTTAACTTTGACCAAAGTCAAAACGACTTATAATCTGAAACAATTATAATCTAAAACAAATGAAGTACTGTACTAACTAACCGATTAATTTGTAATTTATTTATGAGTTAACGATGGCTTGATCCTCATATGTAATCAAAACATGGTTAATAACCAGAGAAAAACATGAAGTAGATGAAGGGCAAATGTGGATACATTCACAGATGGGCAGACTTTATAGCTTATGGTCAATGCCATCAGTCAAATATTGCACTAACTGGGTTAGTTTATAAAGTTTCAACATTGCCAGCGTATGTATGAAGAAATATGTATTACTAAGCATAGATGTAATTGCAGAGATTACATGATTTAACATGATAAACTGGAGATACTGGATTGTTCAATTAACACAACGGTGAGCTTCCTATTCAATCGCTGTACATGAACAATGGTAACCTAGGCAAATTTGTCAATTACGGTTCTGTAAAAAAAGAAAATGCTATGTAAAAGGCTCACAGGAAACGTCACCTCTGGAACAAAGTCTTGCAAACCTTTCATCCATGACAACAAAACAAGTAAAATAGAGAGTTCGGCGATTTGCACTATTGTCTGGAAGAATGAGTTAAAATGTTACTAAAACTTGCCAAGAAATCATATCGTGCAAATATTGGCCACATCAATAGAATATATTGACTTGTCATGCAACAAACTCGATAAGCATCTCCAGATTAATGTACGCTCAACCCTTCCATCTGACAATTGGTAAAGTAGGGCACCAATTGGTAGCCAACTTCAAACAACTTGTCCTTCGATATAAGGTGGCAACGCTACTGTGAGGGTTTCCATTAAGATACGAGAAACGAAGAATATTGGATGAGCACGAGTCACTGTGGTCATAATACATGGCGGCCAGAATCATCTCTTGATTTTTGATGTACTTGCAGGTGATCTTTCAGCAAAGTCCTCGAAGGCATATTCCATTGCATTGATACCATGCAAACAAGGTATGCAAAGAGGTCAATAGAATGATGATAACATATCTCCAAAATGTTTGGTTATTTCAGATACTCGAGTAAAAACATATCAAAGATGTTTGGCTGACTATGACTTGGTTTGCTTGGCACCAGTGTGGTAATAAAGCTATCCACTATATATGGCATCTGCAGTCAAATTTCTAATTTTATATCTTTATCAGGTTTACTAAGAGATTTGACAGCAACAAAGCAAAAAATATATTGAAAATCATGAAAAATAAGTGGCACTAATTTATTTCTCATAGCTATTACTTAAATGGTTGTTTTAAAGCAACACCAAGAAATAGCATAAATAGAACATGTAAATCGAATTGCACTTGGTCATTTCCAAATATCCATGTCATAATACAGAAGAAGACTTAGTGATTGAGCTCCAAGGTTAATATATAAGCCGATCTGGTTATATTATGTTATTATATCACATGAAGTCCCAAACAGGCACTGAGCAACTAAATCATCTAATGGTTAGTACAAATGAAGTTGCAGTATTTTAGATCTTAATCAAGTTAACCGTGCGAGATACACTAATCAAAATTGTATTTTTCTGTCAAAAATAGTATTGCTTTCACATTTACAAATGGTTAAATGCAAACACAAAGCTTAGCCGTTAAATCTAACACTAATGTTTTCTCTCTCCACCCAGTAAATATCTTGACTCTTGAGTCTCCTAAATCAGTGTGGTTATTGTCATTTCTAAAGTCAGATACTGGTCCATCAGATTGATCCAGTGTACAGGTGCATCATTGCAAGTCCTGGAGAACCTTTTTTACTTACATGTTTTACCTTAACACCTATTAACTCCAACAGGCATAAGCCATGCAACTATTTGTGTTCTGCAATAAAATAAACTAAGGATGTGGATTCATAATACTAATCCAACTGGTTCAAACAAAACGCCAAAACAGAACTACATAACCTTAAATCTACCCTATAGTATACCTTTAGTTTAACAGAAGTGCTGTAATGAAACTGATTTGCAAAAGAAGGTAGAAAATATTGGTCATTTTAATCTAAATAGTTTAATAGTCAAGAAACAGCAAGTGGTAAGCAATTGTGATTATGTACTATATAATGTAGTGGACAATAAAATTGTGGTACATATATGTTAAGCTATGAAGCGAGCCTTATTCAATATGAAGAAATATATAATACTATTGAGTATTGACTACCTTGGCTAGTAATGTACTATATGCACAGTTAAATTTGCAATGAAGTACATAAGTGTAGGAACCTTAAGTCAAAGCCTTGGATTTTAATCTACATTGAACCATACAAGTATATAATCATAGACTGATTCCCTCCCCCCCCTTTTTTCCACTTCTATCCATCCAACAATAGCAACCGAGCAAGGCATAGCTGAGCGATGAACATGCTACCCAGGCTTATTAACAGGAACAAGCAATATGAGTGTTGTTTTCTCAAACTAGGATATTGGATCCTAGGTTTCCAGTACTTCCAAAAACTTGTAAAACATCATGCCAGTGTGCAAGACTGTAAGTACAACTTAAATCATGCTCATCAATTTAGTAAATAAGGGGAAAAAGTTAAGGAATTACTCATCCAAACTGTTTGTTTAAGCCAAATTCTGTTTGCAAAACTTGTGCACTAATCCATGACACAACTTTCATCACTAGTTTTATTAGTGACTAAATTTGTTAAGCCAGTAAAACAGATTTTCAAAAAATGCATCACCTCTAGGTATACAAGTGTTGTTCTTTTCCTAGATCTCCATGACACAACTTTCATCACTAGTTTTACTAGCAAATATGCGTATCTAAAAAGGTAAAAACATACATTAGATCATGGAATTATTCTTTTGAAAAACCTTCTAATTTATTATTATTTACTAAACTGATAGTAATTCACCATTGTCGATCTGTACATTGGGGATGGAACTCTGGCCAAAATTGACAAGATTTTGAATGAAAACATAATACTTCCTATGGTAGCTGGTAATGCTTTCTTTCAACTATAATATACCATTTACTAAATTGAACGGAAAATGAGGACAGATAGCATCTTGAACAACTTTCCTGGTACAAGTACCATGGTGAAAATGCTTTTCTTTTCCAAATAAAACTGAAAGTGAAACATGATTCCACATACCACCATCTTGTTGCACAGCACAAGATCCTTCAGAAAATGAAGCGCTTAAAAACAAGATGCTTGCTTTCTGTGTCAAATGCTTCAAGATTGGAAATCGTCAGCCCATCAAGCAAAATCAGTCGATGTCTCTGCCATTTCTCAGGCAGCCAGGCAGTTGATTCAAAAGGCCCCACTTGGACATGCTCTAAAAGGAAATGGCATCGCATCCAACCTGTACAGAAAGGAAATGTACGAGGAAGGATGATTATTTTGCTTGCCAAATGCCTGGAGTATTCTACTCTATGGTTTCTACCTGTATTTCATTCATCAAGTAGTATCACAGACTTCTCTGTATCTATACTACCTTAGAAATTGGCGCTACCAACTTGCTGCTAATATGCTCTTATTGCTTCAGGTAGGGGCTAATTGTTTGCCTCTACTATGCTTGTTTATCCATCTACATACCAAATATCAGAAACATACTCATAGCTCGACCACATACTTTAATGATATATCATTCCAATGACATGAAAAGCACTTGCACTACACCTGAACTTACTGCTAGAAGCAGCTACAGTATAAAACACCTCTATCACTGCATAGAAGTTTGAGGATTGTCATCTGTTACAATCAATATTAATGGAATAATACGCAACAGCACCTTAACTGCAAGGTGAGCTAGAGCACACCACAGAGAAACAACCAAAGATAGAACATTTCAGATTCAGGTAAAGCACAATCCAGCATAAATACTACTGTCAACCACAAACATATGATTCTGTAGAATAAAGGTACAACTAGATAGTTTGTTGTCCATAAGTAGTGAAGCTACTCTAGCTTTAAACTAGAGACGAAGCAACTGAAATTCCACTCATGACAAAGCACACCGACAGATAAGGCTAAACTTAAATAAAGCATTACGCAAGATACAGCTACTCCATAGTATAGCTAGAAGCTAGTTATTGACTACATTCTAGTAGTAAGCCGCAAAAGGTTCAAGCATTCCAACCCGGAGAAATACTGATTTAACCAGCAAATGGGAGATCTTCAAGAGGCCAAAAGCAATCAGAGGGGCCAGGGTAACACAACATACATAGACTGCCCAATTTTGCTGGTTCATCTCATAGATGCTCTAATGGCCTCATTTACTGAGCAACCCTAGGTTGCACACCACCATAACCACTGCCATAATTTGATTGGCCTTCAGACACTCCATTGACTGAAGCCCCAAACCCTCCACCTTGTGAAGGATCAGCCCAAGCATTTGGATAACCAGAACCGCCATTCCCGCTTCCATAGCCAGCACCATACCCAGATCCACCGCCAGCAGCTGGATTGCCAGCACCATCTCCCCTTCCTCCATAACCCCCATATCCACCATGATTACCATACGATGCATCTCCTCCATATCCACCATATCCATAGCCCTGGCTCCCATAGCCTGTGCCTGCACCAGCGGCCTGACTAGTGGGTGCATTACCTCCAGCAGAAGAGTTGTTCCAAGCAGCATAGCCTGCATTGCCACCATAACTCCCAGTGCCATAACCAGACGGAGCTTGACCACCCCATGGTCCTCTGTTTGCTCCTGGAGGACCACCCTGGTAACCTGAACCAGGCGCATTTGGATTGCCATAATGCCCACCATACCCAGCAGGAACACCTCCAAATCCTCCAGCCCCATAATTCCCATACGCAGTTCCAGGGTTAGCATGCCCATATCCATAACCAACCGTACCAGCACCATATCCTCCAGCACCATAACCGGGATAACCACCACTACCCTGCTGCGCCTGACCATACCTGCTAGCGTCACCTCTGCTATCATAGCCCCCAGAATTGGAGTTCGGCCCATTGTTACTCTGGTAACCCCCACCGCCGCCTCCCATGGAACGGCCACCACTGCCGGAGCCAGGGTTGGCCTCCCTGGGCAGGGCGCGCTTCACCTCCACCATCTTCCCGCTCAGGTCATGGAAGGTCTTGTGCAGCACGCGGTCAACGGCGTCCTCCGCGTCGAAGGTGATGAACCCGAACCCCCTCGGCCGCTGCGTGTTCTGGTCGTACATGACGACGACGTCGGTGACGACCCCGTAGGTCTGGAAGTACTGCCGGAACTCGTCCTCCGTCAGGTTGGAGGGCAGCCCGCCGACGAAGATCTTCTTCGTCCGCGCACCGCCGGCGTCACCACCGCCGCCACCACCACCACCACCGGCGCCTCCCCCACCACCGCCCCCACCGGAGGCGTGCCTCCCCCCCGCGCTAGGGTTCGCCGCCTTCGCGGCCTGCTGCTCCTCCCGCGAGAGCGCCCGCTTCACATCAACCTACGAAACCGAACCGAACCGAACCTTGAGAGGAGGGAATCCAACGCGAATATTCGCTAGGGTTTGAGAGGGGATACCGTGCGGCCGTCGAGGGTGTGGGGGTCGACGAGGGCGGCGTCGACGGAGGAAGGGTCGGAGAAGACGACGAAGCCGAAGCCGCGGGGGCGGCCGGTGAGCTTGTCGCGCATGACGGCGGCCTGGGAGACGTCGCCGTAGGCGGCGAAGTGGTCGCGGAGCTTCTCCTCGGTGGTCTCCCACGAGATGCCGCCGATGAACAGCTTCCCCTGATCCGACTCCATCTCCTCCCTCCGCCGCTGCTCTCACCTTCTCTCCTTCCTCTCGCTCGCGCGCCTCGGATTCTCTCGCGACGCGAGGAGGAGGAGGAGGCGGGGGTGGAATTTGGGGGATTTCGGCGTCGGGGAGGGGAGGTGGGGGGCGGAGATTTGGAGGGTTTGGGGATATTTTAGGGCGCGTCGTGTGGGGGGTGGGGACGTGGGGGAGACGGGTTATTTTTGTTCTTCTCTGTGGGCTTCTTTTTTGGGGTTTTTTTTTTTTGTTCTTTCTATGGGCCGAATTTGGTGCGAGCTTGTAGGAACTCGAATTTTTTTTATTTTTAATTTTTTTTATTAAAAGTTTTACAAAAAATAATTTTTCATTTTGAAAATTGACAGAAGTGGTCGCCTACCGCCCTCTGGGAGGGCGATTTTTAAAAATCGCCATCCCAGAGGGCGGCGAAAGTGACGTGGCAGACGGCCGTTCGCTCTCGGGCGACGGCCGTCAACGAAATTTGTAGGCGGCCCCCTTGCCGCCCTCCGCTAGGGCGATTTTGTACTGTGCGGGGGGCCGCCTGCAAATGGGCGGCGGGGGGCCTGGAATTTTGCAGGCGGCCCCCTTGCCGCCCTGGGGGAGGGCGAATTTATACTGTGCTTTATATTTTTTATAAATATCAATAGTTATCAAATCTTTTTATATTGAAAACTATACAAGATTAAAATCTCCAAGACTGGTAAAATACAATTTTATTATTTTTTAGGGCCTATTTGGAATGTTACCGTACAAATATTTTGTTAGTGCCAAAATATAAGCAAGTTTTGGCACTACCAAATATTTGGTAAGGTAAAATTGCATTTGATCATATTTGGTTTGCTGCCAAAATGTAAAATTGTAGTGAAGAATGTTCTACATAATCTCAAATCTAGATTACGTATTACCAATGAATAGGCTTCAATCGAAATCAAACACAAGTACTATTCAAATTACCAAAATATTGGTAGGGCATGTTTTTGGTAGCAATCCAAATAGGCCCTTAGTCTTACGCATACAAAAAATCACCACCATAATTAAACATTGTAATGATAAGATAGATAAGAAGTGCCATCGATACACGGTACAAATTTGTCGATCCCGACGAATCAAGCATGCGGTAACCTATCGGCACCTTCTAGGTCGGTCAGAATGCATTGCATTCTCGTGGTCCTTCAATCGTTGATACTCTACTTGTGTTTCTGACTATGTTATCTTCTGGCCATGATATGATGGAGTGACATTGTCGATCCATCGAGTAAATCCACCCATCCTTGGATTGCCCTGTAAAAATAGTAATGTTATTCAGTTTGGGTAGTAATTTTGTGCAAATCATAGCGGATTTTGTAAATGGTTAGACATACAACGAAATCGTTGTCTACATTGGGGCAGACAAAATATCTCCTTCGAAATGTTTGTTCAGCAAAGGATGTAGCCACCTGCCAGCGATCTCTGCACCCACACTTTGGACGCTCGGACCATTTAGGTAACCCTAATGGATTGGTCCTCCAGTCTAAGCTTGCAATTTCCACCCAACGTTCGTACTCCATCCAAACATGAATGAACTGTATGGTCGGTTCAGGTTGCGTTATCAGCCCGCCACTTGAAGTAACTCTGACTGTGTCAATCCATTGTACGAATTGACATTTCCTTACATCCTCCTATGTACATCCATTATGGGATAGTTAAGTTAATGATAGTACTGAGGAGTGATGAAAAGAATAGTTGTAATTACCACGAAATCATCGTCGACAATGTTTGGACACACGAAACACCTTTGTCCTCGAGTTCGGTGCCTTACGGACCTTATGACCTGACAACGGTCACCACAACGACACTCCGGACGCTCACGCCACGTGGGGAGTCCTAGGGGATTTACGTGCCATTCTAAAGCCTCAGCAGCAATTCGACGTTCATGCTCATCCTTCCACCTTAGGTAGTCCGATCTTGTTTCACTACGTGGGTAAGCACGGGTTCCGTCGTTTTGTGGGTTCTCCATGTCTACCCACTCGATGAAGTTGCACATTGGACGATATGTCTGCGTAAGATGTTACAATTGTGTACGAAGAAGTTAGTTTTTTTATCCATTTGAACTTCGAATAGATGAAGCATACCTGATCAAAGTTCGCGCATTGGAAGAATCTCCTGCCCCGAGTTTGTATCATGAGGGAAGACTTGAGTATGCATCCATCCCCACAATCGCACAAAGGACGGTCACACCATGGTGGAAACCAACCAGCAAAAGGATCGCTTCGCCAGTTGAGACGCTCAAGGAATGGCGCTTCCATTTTTGTGTGTTGTGTGCTAGTGGGAAAGAAGATATGAAGAGGTTGCCTTCAGATTGTCAATTATATAGCGTCGTTTTCACTGCAATATATGTGAACTCAATAAGATACATTATTCATTAGATGTGACAAGACGATCACGCGTGGGCGTGATTCACTTTATGTCAACAGGCAGCGCCGAAAGTTGATAGTGACAACTCGAGCTGCCGCTTTTCATGTGTGCTGTTGTGGACTGTGCGCGCTACTGGATCTGACACTACCGTGAAGCGCCGAAAGTGTGTTGTCGTGAGCATAAGTTGTTCTAGCACCATATGAATGAAAAGAACTATGTAGACAAGACAAACACAAGTAGTACTGCAGTAGTAATAGCAAAAGTAGTACTGCTTTACAAGTTTGTAAGCCAAAAGAAACGGTCACATAAGGACTGAAGAGGTAGAACACTACTGACGAGGCCTCTTACCCCTGTCCCTCCTACCCTGCGCCCTAATGTGCCCCTGGGAGTACGTGAGTCGGTCCGGGGGTACGGCACGGCCAACCCGTCTTGCCTGTACAGGTGTGACCTCTGGCTGCTCCTGAGTGTGCGCCTCTGGAGCTCCTCCAAGCTGAGAGGAGCCTAGTACGTCGTGGTGGTGTGCACCGTGCAAGTCGTCGTCGTAGAACTGGCTAGTAGGACCAGTCTTACCGGCGTGAGACGAAGAGGCCCCAGTACCGAAGATCCCGGCTGCAAATTCTGCTGGACAAGGACCATCAGTTTCATACAGGTATTTAATAGTATTAATAAAAAGTAAAGTACCGTGTGGGCGAGGGATCGACGCTCCGTGAGAGGAAGAGCTGGCGAACGCGCCCGAAGAGGTGGCGAACGCCCCTGCGGAGCTTGCGGAAGCGCCGGTCGTGCCTGCGAACGCGCTCGAAGGCAGACGAGGTCCTGCGATGAGGAAACGTGCCGTTAAAACATGGTGACATATTCGTGCAAAAGCTGAAACAAAAATGAACTAATCTCTGGGCTGAACTGTACCGTGCGAAACCGGTGCTGTAGGTCGCACTGCTCCGAAGCTAGGGGCGCTCGAAGGCAAACGAGGTCCTGCGAGGATGGAACATCAAGTTACGACGGGCTGATGTTTTCGTACATAAACAGAAACAAAACTTAAGAAACCTCTGGGCTGAGCAGTACCGTGCGAAACAGGTACCGTAGGTCGAGGTCCTGCTCCGACGGTAGGCGCGCGAGGCCGTGGTTGTACCGGACCAGCTGGAGGTACGACGTCCACGGCGCTGCGACAGGAGAAGACGCGCATGACCGCACGCATCTTCTCCTGCATCCGGTCGAAGGTCACCCTCTGCTCAACGTCAGTCAAGTGCAAACCTCTGTTCAACCTCACTTGGACTGCGGTGATATCGGCACTGATATCCCGTGCGGCATCAGCCTATGCAAGATGGAAATAAAAAATTCAGTAGTTGTCCTATATTATGCAAGATAAATGAAATAATTGTAAGAACTAATACAAATTCGACGTACCCCCACGAAGTAGTCTCGGTCACGGTGCGTGGGATACGCGTCCGTCACAACGGCAACGTGCGGCTCTGGGGCGTCTGGAGTGAAGGTCACACGCGCACGAGTGCGAGGAAGGTACCAGCGAAGGTAGTCATGGTAGTTCTCCTCCGTGTGTGGGAAGAGCTCGTTGATCACCTCCTCTGTAGCTAACACCCAGTCATCAACGTACTGCTGTACACGTGGAGCCCAAAGTGCGCCTGCTAGCTGTCCCCGTCGAGTCAACCTGTGAAGAGAGGTAAATTATATGGCTCGATGTAGTAATTATCATAAAAATTTAGAAATGAACAATCCGAACTCACGAGTGGTCGGCAGGGAGGACGGTCGGCTGCACGTTGCCCGGAAACAACTGCCTAAGTCCGAACTGTCTCATCACACGCTGCGGGCAGTGAGGCTCAACGAAAATGTCGAACACCATCGGCAGGATGGTGAGCCAGTAAGCCTGGTCGCGTGTGCACAACGACGAAAGTCCTAGCGGTGCTCTCGCAGCGACGGCCTCTTCTGTGTACGGCTCCCAGATGACGTCGCTCGGCTGGAGACGGTCAAACTCGAACACGAAGTCCGGGTAACCTCGTCTCACCTGGACGTGAGCGTAACGACGCTGCAATAAACATGATCGGAATTAGACATGTTATGTGAAGAAAAAAAAGAAGACGACTGATAAACTTATAACGCAGCGAAGTTGCACTAACCCCACGTCGACACCAGTAAGTCCCCATCGTGGGACAGTCCTCTGGCCACTGCGCGCTGCGACCAACCCCGTAGGGTGCGCTGTCCACCACTGGTCGACCTATGGCAAACTTCTCGGCTGCCCAAAGCTGAAGCAACATAGGGCAGCCAGCGATGATCACTCCCGCGTCAGTCTTCGTGCACGCCTCACAGAGGGCACGGTATGTGGCTGCTAGCACGGCAGAACCCCAGCTCCACTGCGGCACGTCCTGTGGCTGAGCATCCGCGATGGACCGTGCGTAGTGGACCAGCCGGAAGTCCACAACGTGCCCGTGGGTGCTAGTGAACATCACCCAACCGAACAACCACAACAGGTACGCCTCAAGGGAGCGTCGGACCGAGTTATCATCAGCGTCAGGGTGCAGAAGGTCCGCCTACAATTAAGAATGAAATGTTAGTACAAAACACTCTGTTGATCGCAAATAAGCATGTATGATAATAACAACTTATTTACTTACAGTGAACTGGAGCAACCAAGCCTTGCTAGGCCCGACTGTAGAGTACGGAGGAAGGGTGTTGGCCGGTCCTAGGTGTGGAAGGCGCATCACCTGCTCGAAGCGCGCAGTGATATCCTCCTTCCACCCAAAAACA